ACTAGAGACTGAGGTGTTTACTGCCTTAATACTTGAGACTTGTGTTTGTGTATTGATACCGTGAAACTGAGAGTCGGGAGGGAGCTTTTTCCTTGTTTATTAAATCCAGGAGAGTGGAGTGAGAGCCTTTTCCCTGTGTATCTAATCTTGGAGAGTGGAGTGAGAGCCTTTTCCCTGTGTATCTAATCTTGGAGAGTGGAGTGAGAGCCTTTTCCTTGTTTATCTATCTCTGGAGAGAGGAATGAAAGCCTTTTCCTTGGGTATCTAATCCTGGAGAGTGGATTGAGAGCCTTTTCCTTGGGTATCTAATCTTGGAGAGTGGAATGAGAGCCTTTTCCTTGTTTATCTAATCCTGGAGAATGGAATGAAAGCCTTTTCCTTGTGTATCTAATCCTGGAGAGTGGATTGAGAGCCTTTTCCTTGGGTATCTAATCTTGGAGAGTGGAATGAGAGCCTTTTCCTTGTGTATCTAATCCTGGAGAGCGGAATGAGAGCATTTTCCCTGTGTATCTAATCCTGGAGAGTGGAATGAGAGCCTTTTCCCTGTGTATCTATCTCTGGACAGTGGAGTGAGAGCCTTTTCCTTGTTTATTTAAGCCCCGGATATCAGGAAAGAACTTATATAACTAACTCCACGTGAATAGAGAATAAATAATATTCTCAAAATGTAACTACAAGCTACAAGCTGAAGTCAGTTTTCTGCTGGAGACTACATAATATATTTCAGTTTGTCTCTGTACAAACTCTCCCTCCCTTCCTAGTCTGTCACAATACACAGGGGGAGAGTTAGCACTGCTCTTTACTCAACTCACTTCAAAAGAATTACCGAGATATATTCATTCATGTGTCCTGAGTAATATATATATATATTTCATACGTAGCTGTCTGTGAATTATATGAGAGCTTATATGCAATAGTTGCTTATATTTTTGTGTGTGTGTATCGTTGGTAATGTATCTTTAGCTCGTAAATGAATGTTTATATTGCTTTCATAATTACAATTTCACACACGAGATGTTAAATAGGATTACTTCTGATGGTCCGAGGCAGGTAGGAGTGCATTCTAATGTAATTAGAAGGTGTTACGTTGCAATGAAACAAGAGAGCATTTAGCGTGGGGAGCGTAGTGGAGGGAAGAGAGGGAATTATAAGAGGGAAAGCGGCAAGCCATTACGACTGCATAACACATGGAAGAGGGGTCAGGATAAGGATTTGGGATGGAACGGGGGAAGGAATGGTAGAGCCTTTTCCCAACTGAGTGTGTATATTGGGGAGAGAATCTTCTGTTTGGGGGGAGTGTAGAGAGCAAAAGAACCTATTAGTTAAGGGGTTTATAAGGAGAATGATTTCTACTTTGTTTACCAGTTTATCTAAAACTTTCATTACAAGATGCTCTCTTATACAACTAATTATACAACTAGTATAATTTTATTCCGCGTTAGGCCGAGTAATACTTTTTAAATTTTCATACTGAGCCTTGTAATTACTCTATTACACTTTTGTTTATTTATCCAGCAAATGAACAATTTATCTGGTCGGAAAACACTCAGCAATAACTATATTCACTTTTAGTGTGGTCAGTGAATTTAACCATCAGTTAAGTCAATTTGCATTGCCATCGTTTTTGACAGCTCGTCCCACTTGGTCCGTTTGCCCCTGTAAAACATGAAAAACATATGTATCTTTATTATTAATATATATATATCCACTATTAATTTTATTTTGGATATTTTCCATTCTACGTAAATATAAATATCTTCAACCATATAGAGGGTGAAGAAAACTAGATCACTTAATCTTTCCAAATTTTTATTGTTCAACGTTTTATCAGATATGTGACATCTTCAGGAGTACACTGTTGCACTAACACAGCTATACTGAACTTACAAGATTGATTGATTGATAAAGATTAAGCCACCCAAGAGGTGGCACGGGCATGAATATCCCGTAAAACTTACAAATAGAAATCTAGACATTTATAAGTGTGGGGGTACACTCCACTCAACAATTCACCTAACCCTCATAATCGTAGAGAGCAGGGAAGGATAGGGTGAGGTGATTTGTTGCCTGACTCCGGCTTCTAACTGTCCGCCAGATCTTACAGCTTCCCTCTGGGTCAATGGAGGACCATCAAACAGTTGTATACTCGAAGTCGAATTCATCTGGATGTTGATTACTGGTGTCAGCTCCCGGATGAAGACAGCCTCGAGCATACGAAGCCTCTTACGGTTATCTTGAGGTTATCTTGAGATGATTTCTGGGCTTTTTTAGTGTCCCCGCGGCCCGGTCCTCGACCAGGCCTCCACCCCCAGGAAGCAGCCCGTGACAGCTGACTAACACCCAGGTACCTATTTTACTGCTAGGTAACAGGGGCATAGGGTGAAAGAAACTCTGCCCATTGTTTCTCGCCGGCACCCGGGATCGAATCCGGGACCACAGGATCACAAGTCCAGCGTGCTGTCCGCTCGGCCGACCGGCTCACGCACGATCGTCAGTGTGTGTGATTACTGTCCTATAATCACTATTACTGTCGCATCCTTCACTATGTCTTGGCGATTCAGGATGGTGTTATATTGAGAATGATGTTGCTTAATATCTCCGTCTTGCAAATGATGTGTAAGACGTCTTCTCAATATATTCGAGGCATGTCCAATGTTGTGTGTTTCTACATTGACTTGATGTCTTACTCTTCACGCTTCAGTCTCTTGGACAACAGTAAGTTATCTATGAAGCTAATTGTGTTACTTTATAATTACGAAGTGGAGGTTAAGATGGGTACTTTTTATCGCTAGGAACCTTTGGGTTTGCGTTTACTCTCTGAATATATGCACAAGGGTCGTGACGATGGTCTCTCTCTCTCTCTCTCTCTCTCTCTCTCTCTCTCTCTCTCTCTCTCTCTCTCTCTCTCTCTCTCTCTCTCTCTCTCTCTCTCTCTCTCTCTCTCTCTCTCTCTCTTTCTTTCTCTCTGTTGATGGTTTTCTGTCTGTCTCTCTGTTTGACAGTCTGTTTAACTATATTTAGCTTTCTATATCTATTTCAAACATCTTGAAAATGTCTCATAACTTTGTTTTTCTTTGCAGGTCGATGGTTACGTCCCAGCATCATCTTTATTCCCGTGAAGATCTTCATCATCTTCATGACATCCCCCCCAAGGCCTGTCATGGCCCTTGGGGGACATCATTCATAATGTATAAGGAGTCATTATAGCACTCCTGGGAGAGCCGCGGAGGGGATCTCTTTCCTGACCTGAAGGGAGGATCTAATTCTACAAGGAGTGGTTTTCAATCTCTGAAATTCCATGAATTAAGAAAGTGTTTTTTGACAAGATTTTTCTAGGTCATGAGAGCTTGAAAGGAAGCCTCTTGATCTTGGATCAGCGCTCTCTGAAATGAGTTTCAGAATCTTTAATACTCTTTTCATCGCGATAATAATGTGAGGAGAAAATTCGTCCAAGTCAAGGTTTTCACTTTATTATTAATTAAAGTGTTAATTCAACATATTTGTTTTGCAATATTCAAGGCTAATTTCTGCAACAAATGAAAACAAGTTAAAAGTTACGTTTCGCGTTTAGTCTTGATTTAGCGATAAACAGCGAGAAAAATAGATACGTATAATTTTTATTATATCTACATAGACCTAAGGAAAGTTACACAGAACTGTGAATATCCTTGCTTATAAAATATATATATATAAATCTGATTTTTATAATACAGAAATAACTGAGACACTCTGGTAGACAGAAACGCTTTCATTTTAAATATTGTTATTGTAGAAAATGTTTATTTGTCCAAAATTTTATTGTAAAATTTAGTCGAAGTTTAGTAACATGATGTGACAATCGTTTGTTTACACGTTTGAGACACGATTCTTGCACGTTTCTTTTACGTTTAGATCACGTCTAAAATACGATCCTGACATGTGTATTTCACGTCTCTGACCTCTCTCAGTAACATATTTCGTGCATTTAATCTAATAAAATACAACCAACCATTGTTTCGCATCCTCTTAAGATGAGAGTGAAGACAGCCAAACCATAGACATAATCCTGAAAGTTGTAATTTAAGCTTAGCAAAACTGTGGTAAAAGAAAATTCGATTGGAATAGTGAGGATCACAATACCACAATGATATCACAGACATGATATCACAATGATATCACAGACATGATATCACAATGATATCACAGACATGATATCACAGACATATCACAATGATATCAGAGGATCACAATGCCATGCGGATGCAGCCTCGTGTGGCCATAAACGTTCGTTTGTTAAAAAGAACTTTTCGTAAAGATCAACAATGGTGGCTGCATTCAGCATTCATTGATGACAAGACTTTTATACATCAATTGTTCAGAAAGTTATGTTCATCGTTCGGTAATAAATCGGCTGTTCTTCTCCCTCAATAGTTCCGGAAGTCGTGTTCAGCATTCAGTGATAAGAACAATTTCTTTCAACTCTTCTCATGGTCATATTCAATAGCATTAAACAATTTGTTAAACAAGAACTAAAAGGTAAAATAAGTGAAAAGTTGCAAAACGAAGGAAAATTTCCGTTGTGCGAAGTTAATGATTGAAAGAAACTTCAATGTGAGGTGTGAAACTTCAAACTTCAACTTCAAATATCAATTAATACAAAACTTGTACATATCATAAGTGAAGAAAAACACACATTATACTGAACCATGACTGCTGAAATGAGGAACAAATTCCATATATAATTAAAAAAATTAATCATAATTATCTGAACACTTTTCTCATATTATCATTAAATATTTTGAATACCCAACATCGCAACAAAGTTTGTGAACGAGAAGATTCATAAATCACAGTTGACTGGTTTGTGATTAAACATTACGATATTCTTGTTATATATCATAGATGAGCAAATACCCAAATTGGGATTGAAATCCTGACAGGATCAGTCTAGTATTTACATATAAGGTTTAAAGGTTAGGTAATCCCAGCGGGCAAGTATTAGTTAATATCACGAAATGAAGACATGAACAATCACCAAGAAATGGATTACACGTGCTGAAGAAAGATGAGAAACAGAGATTACAGTCCCCATATGTGGTTTTGAGGAAATGTGAGAATATTTCTATATCACCATCTACCACAATCACAATGACTCTCACCTACGACGACTACCCATATACCGAATTCCTTCAAAACCTCTCGCTCAGATACCCAGACATCGACTGGAATTACATCAACCTCACCAACTTCACCTTCCTCATAGACTCGACGGAGCGCGTCGACCACACAGGCGCCAACACCACCGACACTGCTCTATACGACGTTCCGACAGGTATCGTAGTCCTCCTGTCGATCTTCTACGGCTCCATCTCCCTCGTAGCGGTGATAGGCAACGCTCTGGTGATGTGGATCGTCGCCACCTCTCGCAAGATGCACTCAGTCACCAACTACTTCATCGCCAACCTTGCCCTGGCTGATATCATCATTGGGCTCTTCGCTATCCCATTTCAAGTGAGTTCACGGATGGTTGCGAGTGAGGAGTTGGTGGGCGGGCGCCTGGATAGATAAAGGGATGGCTTGGTGCCGTGAGTGGGTAGGTGAATGAATGTATGTATAGAGGGGGGTAGATGCCTGGAAAAATGGTTGAATGTATTGATGTATAAAAGAGTAGTTTATTAATATATGAAAATACTGATAAATGTTTGAATGTGTGTGAATAACATGGATGAATGAATAACTGAGTGAATTGACTGATAACAAGACAAATACTAAAGTTTATAACAAAACATTAGTTAATTTGTTAAACAAATGTATATATATATATATATATATATATATATATATATATATATATATATATATATATATATATATATAAATTAGTTGAGACATACAGATCCATAGAACATTTTTTAATGCTTCAATTTTATGAATAAATTTTAATACTAGGTAATGTTTTAATTTAATTTGTAAAAAAAAATAAAATAAAAACCGAGAAAAATAAAGGTGAACTGCCTAGCAAAATGCATTAAAAGAATGTTGAATCGAAGCGTAAAATGTGGGAAAAATGTGCACTGTTGTTATTACATGCAATATGGTGTAAGCTGGGATATATGCATTCAGAAGCACATTCAGGTACCTGCATCCCCCGCCTACGTAGATAGGTAAGTTCAACCAGGTGACTACAAGTACAAGCAGGTGAGTACAAGTAGGTGAATCACGCTAGGTTAGTACAATACAAATCGGTGAGTACAGCTAAGGAATACGGTTAGGTGAGTGCAAATGAGTGCAGCTACGTGAATACAGGTGGGTGAATACAGACAGAATACACCCACACACACGCACACACACATACACACAACACACACACATTTAAAAAACTACTTAGGGGACTGACACATTGGAAATAGAGGAAATGTTTACAAAGAATGCCAACAAAACAAGGGAACAGGAATAGAAGGTTGAGAATCAGAAGTCATATAGATATTAGAAAGTTGTCATTTAGGGTAAGAATAATAAGAAAATGACCTGAACAAAACATGCAGGTTGTAGAAGCAAACTCCATTGACATTTAAAAAAAAAGTACATTTTATATGGGAATAGGTCAAGAGTCATTGCATTAAACAACCGACGGATAGAAAGTTGGGGTCCAAGAGCTAATGCTTGATCCTGCAGGCACAAATTTGTGAGTACAAAACACACACGCTCACGACTGAGGCAGTGAAATCATCTCAAGTGTGAGAAAAGTCGTCAGCAGAGAAGGGCGTCTGAAGAGAATTCAGCAGAGATGGGGGCGGGTCGTGTTTGAAAACTGAATCAAGAAGGCAGGAGAAATGGAGTCGGGGGAGGTCAGCCCGTCTTATTCTTTCATCCCTTTGATGAGGTGAGTGGATATCGCCTCCTTGACTGGGTCGAGGCTGCTTCATTTTTGACAAGACCGTCGCCAATCGCATTATTTATGATTTGCCTCAGTTCAATCATTTTGATTATTGGTCACCACGGATTCTGACCCCTTTCTGATTTTCATGTTTCTTGGGGAAAGTCTTGTTTAACTTATTTCTTGGTATGGAGGAGAGTCCAACTTTCCTCCGAGAGTCCAACTCTCCCTCGAGAGTGGTTTTACTCGAAGCTAGAAATTTTCTCGAGAAAAAGCTCATACCTCCTTGCCTCGTTCAATTACGTTGTTCCTGCTGCAAGAAGGCATGAACGCCAAGCACCAAGATTATTGGGTTAAATTCAGATGCACAGTGGAAGGATGGAGGGGGTGAGGGGTGGGGGGATGGGGGTATGGTCAGCCTTCAAGGAGCCCTTGAAGTAGCTTGTTCCATCTCCTAACCCCCCCTCACTGTAAATTAGTGCCGAGTGGAGTGGTTCGCCCAGGCTGTTATGTGGACAATTCCATCATCCAATACCTCTGCTTCAACGTGATTACGACAGCGGGGGAGGAGGAGGAGGTGCTGACGGCACAGTGCGCCACAGTGCCAACAGGTTGGGCGAGAGGATGGGACGCTCTCCTTGGAGGATTATTGATTTAGGTGAGACAGCCATTGTAACAGCAAACTCAACCAAAATGTGAAGGAGACTGACAGCGTGTGTGGGGTGACCTGGACGCTGCCGCCTCTAGGGAGAACGACAACAGGAGCCCAGCATCTCAAGGGAGTCTCTTCTGCACTCCCTTACCTTGACAGGCTGTCAATGTAGCAACACGCGGACAGGCAGCTGGTGTTGTGCTGTCTCAACAGACAAGCAAGTCGACGCAGCTGTCAATAGATCCTTTGGACCCTCTGCCAGCGTGGGGGGGGGGGGGGGGGTGTGGAGGAGAGGCCGCTATGTAATCATTGTGTAGTGAGAATAGGTCTCCTCTCTCGGAGGAGTCGTCACTGTGGGGGGGATGAATGGGTAAGTGGCCCCCACCACAAGCCTCGGCTTGGTGCAAGGAGAGGGAGTAGGTACCCCTATTGCAACCCATAGCACAGTGTAGGGGAGAGGAAAGTCCCTACCACCGCGCTTCGTACCATCTAATTGTCTGCTATAAAAAAATATCTGCACCAGATTCCTTGAAACAGGATTAAATGGGGAAGAGGAAGACGGAAACGCAGGCGGAGGAGGAGACGGAGGCGGAAGGGAAGACGGAGGAGAGAGGCAAGCAAAGGTGAAGGAAGCACCTCCGGCTGGCTTTGATAACGCTGTCTTGAGACCAGGGTTAAAAGCGTTTTGGCAATGTGTTTCATCTTAAACTCACCGTCATCCATAAAATAATCTATATTTCCTCGTTATTACCAACGCTATTTTGCACTTAAGAAGACCATCCGTCTGAGGTTTGTATTGATCCAGTCGACGGCACGAAAAAGGCCAGATACAAAAATTCAGGAAAAACTTAAGAAGTGCTACGAAGATGATTTAAATTTACTTGTAAAATACAGTTTAATCCTGTCAAATACAAAGTTTTCAAGCCCAATTACAACAGTTGGCGGATATTAGCTGCACAATATTGAAAATACTTAATCTGAATGCGAATGGAATGGTGTCATGATTAGCAAGGATCTTAAAGCAATAAAACATGTCAAAATTTATATATTTAAAGAAAAAAATATATTAGGATTCCTAACAAAAGATAGTTGAAAAACATCTATTGCTCTTCTTCGCTTTATCTTATCTTGTTAGGTTCCAATTTAAGTTATGCAGTTCAGTTTAGGTTTCCACACTATGGAATGGACGGATAATATTGATAAAATATTCAAAGGACGACAAACTCATACAGATGAGGAGTCACAATAACGTGGCTGAAATATGTTGACCAGACCACACACTAGAAAGTGAAGGGACGACGACGTTTCGGTCCGTCCTGGACCATTCTCAAGTCGATTGTGATGAGGGAAGGAGGTAAAGGTAATAAATGACAAACGACAAACTTAATCCCCTGAAACTGGAAATCTCCCTAACGAAAAGCGCTTTAGGAACCCTAAATTTCCTTCTCCACAAAGGGGGAAGAGCAAAGGGGGTATATGATTGTCGTGCACATATGTAGATAAATGGGTATAATTGGTGGGATAACAATAGGGTGTTAAATATATCAACACATACATCAAAGAATGGAAATAAATAGGAAAAGTTTATATATAAAACAGACGGGAATAAATACTGTTGAAAAAAAAGGTTGTTAATTTCAACCCTATCTTCCAGCCCAAGCTATAAATCAAATATTGACTAATTTACTTTCATTAAGTAAATATTTATATAACAGAGAACCAACTGACAGGTTTAGTTTTCCATAATAACAAACATTTTTCTGGAATGCAAATTACTATTATTATATATATTATGTGTATATGCATAGTTAGGATTAGGATAGGTTTGTTTAGGTCTAGGATAGGTTTGGTTAGGTTTAGGATAGATTAGGTTAGGTCCAGGATAGGTCAGGTGTTTTGGTTATGGTGATAGGGAGATTTTACACTGTAGACTGAAAGTAAACCAAACTCGATTCGAAACATATCTTCGAACATAACTACATAAGTCAAATATTGACTTATGTAGAGTTTAGTAAATCAGTGTTTGCCTTGCATGCTGTGTACCTGACAGCCTTTTGTTTTGATGATGGGATGGCTAATTAAGGCCAAACAGGTTATCGGGTATCGTGGGGGTTAATGGAATTGTTTCAAGCGTAGGTTATACATATATCTGACATCTCCGTTGTTTACAATAGAGTACTCGTGACTTCAGGTGTTGGTTTCAGTTCTGAATTTAGCGATTCCTTCCACTCCAGCAGCGAGAGCTATTTTGGCTCTGTGAGATTTTGGCTCAAGCTGATTTGGCTCTGTGAGATTTTGGCTCAAGCTGATTGGCTCTGTGAAATTTTGGCTCAAGCTGATTTGGCTCCAAGTGATGGTTGTGGCTCCAGTTTAAGTGAAGGTTTTTAAGTGTGTTTTTGTTCGTTGTGGTTACATATGTTTTTGTTTGGGCTCGAGGTGTTGATTCTGTTGTCTTCCTCCCTTTCGTGCTTCCAGTTCTCTTGCTTCCAGTTCTCTTGCTTCCAGTTCTCTTGCTTCCAGTTCTCTTGCTTCCAGTTCTGATGCTTCCAGTTCTCTTACTTCCAATTCTCTTGCTTCCAGTTCTCTTGCTTCTAGTTCTGGTGCTTCCAGTTCTCTTGCTTCCAGTTCTGATGCTTCCAGTTCTGATGCTTCCAGTTCTCTTGCTTCCATTTCTCTTACTTCCAGTTCTGATGCTTCCAGTTCTGATGCTTCCAGTTCTCTTGCTTCCAGTTCTGGTGCTTCCAATTCTCTTGCTTCCAGTTCTGATGCTTCCAGTTCTGATGCTTCCAGTTCTCTTGCTTCCATTTCTCTTACTTCCAGTTCTGATGCTTCCAGTTCTCTTGCTTCCAGTTCTGATGCTTCCAGTTCTCTTGCTTCCAGTTCTCTTGCTTCCAGTTCTCTTACTTCCAGTTCTGATGCTTCCAGTTCTCTTGCTTCCAGTTCCAATGCTTCCAGTTCTCTTGCTTCCAGTTCTAATGCTTCCAGTTCTCTTGCTTCCAGCTCTCTTGCTTCCATTTCTCGTGGCTTCAATTCCTCTTGGTTAAATGTTCATGTCTTGGAGTTCTCTTAAACCTATTTCCATTATCACTGTCTTGTTTAGAAAACCCCCTTTCTGGTTTCTGTGAAGGGTCAAGAGTCCAGTTCGGTTCTCCTACCTTCCCACGGCTCTTAAGTCCACCAATTTGACGAGACGAGACGCAGGACAATTGTCAACGAGGTTTTCTCAGACGTTCATGAAACTCTCAACAAAAGGACTTCAAGAATTTTATGAGGTATCTGTGAACACGTGTGTGGAATCCTCTCATTCTCTTCGTTATCTTTTCTTCTCTTATCTGTATTCTTTCTGCTTCTCTTTGAATTTTCTACTCATTAGTTAAATACCTTCTTTATCACTTCTCGTTACCCCCCTTTTTTTCGTTTTAAATTCTTCCATTTCATTTTGTTTTTTAATGTCTCTCTTCTTCAGCTATTTGTCTTGCTTTGAACTTTATTGCCATCTCTGCTTTCAACAGTTTCTGTACTTCTGTTCCCATGAAAGCGACAAAATAATGAAACTTTTTCTCCATCAGGTGAAGAGGAGGTCAATGTTCTCCGTCGTTTCATGGGAGTTAATTTGAGACTTTAGTGACTGATGACGCTTGCACGTTTTTCACCACCTTCCCACGCTCCTCTTCACCCTTCCCTCTTCCCCTCTTTCTCTCTCTCTCTCTCTTTCTCTCCTTCCCTCCTTCTCTCCCTCCCCTGATCCCCCCCTCCTTCCTTTTCTCTCCCTCTCACCATTTCCTTCTAATCTCACCTAATTTCCCTCACTTCTTCTGTCCATCTATACCTCCTTTCATTTCAAGTTTCCCTCGCCTCATCTCCCTCTCCATCTCTCCTTTTATCCCCAGTCTCTCTCCTTCCTTCATTTGTTTGTTCTCACCAGGATGAGTGACGGTGAGCAACAGATGGAAGTCTTGCTCTAATGGTTGCCTTCTTGAAGGAATAAGATGTGTCTTCATTCTCCTCTGGGACGAGTTCATTTGCATTGGATACAACATCTTGTCTTTTTCCTTCTGTCTACTTCTGCTCTTTATCCTCCTGCTCCATTTTTTTGTACTTTTTCCTCTTCCTTTTCTTCCTCGTACTCTTCCTCCTCCTTCTCTTCCTCGTACTTCTCTCATTTATGTTCTCATTTCAGTCCCTTTCCTTGCTGTTTCCTGTTTCTGGGTGCTTGTGTGGTGGAGAATTCATGATTTGTGTGGTTCCTGAATGTGAAGGCTGCTCAAGTTGCCCCACTTGTGTGTGTCTTTGGTGTATGGGCAGTGTAGATCTCTGATGTAGGGTGTATAATGAATGTAGACCTCTGGTGTAGGGTGTATGGTTAGTGTAGACCTCTGGTGTAGGGTGTATGGTCAGTGTAGACCTCTGGTGTATGGTGTATGGTCAGTGTAGACCTCTAGTGTAGGGTGTATGGTCAGTGTAGACCTCTAGTGTAGGGTGTATGGTCAGTGTAGACCTCTGGTGTAGGGTGTATGCTTAGTGTAGACCTCTGGTGTAGGATGTATGGTCAGTGTAGACCTCTATTGTTAGATTTATGTCTGGTGTTTGGTGTTAGGAAGGATATTCTAGTCCCCCGCTGTCTCTGTGTCTACCAGCGCTGGCGAGGAATATGTTCATATATGTAAAGCAGCTTATAGCAAACTGATGCGAATCCTTCAATCTGGCTTAACGAAATTGTCCTTCATGCTATATCGCCACACAGGCTTAGAAGTCTCTCCGGATAGCTATCTTACCAGCGTATGGTTGCTGCTGGTGGTGCTTCCTGTTTCAGGATGCTTGATACAGCTGTCTGTATCGTTAAATACTCGCCGGCTCAATGGCTTTCTAATCCTGGTAAACCTGCATTTTGCTCTCTGCGATTTCATTCTGTGAACCAATCACCATACGCGATATTTTCCATCCTCCCTCCATGACTTTGTAGCTGGTTAAGGTTCAGTATGGTCAACTAACTGCGCCGTTTAACTGCTGGTGAAACATTTCTTCCAAGTCTTGCCGGCAGCATCTTATCGCTTCAAGAAGTGTGGCTTGCCCGACTCTTAGATACTCTTTATCCCGAGAAAGTTTTGGGAGCCTTTCACTGGGTTTCTTTTGGTTTCTCTGAAGTTTGGCTTCTGTCGGCAACTTTCCCTTTTGGTGGTTTGAGTTCAGACACACTTGAAGTTTTTTTCCCTTTGTTAAAAAGCTGTTTATTTTGTATAAATTGGAGCTTGATAGAGAGCTTATAAAGTGAAGCTTGAAAGAACTTATGTTGAAGGACCTGACGGTTGAGAGATAGCTGTCTCTAAGGTGGCTAGAGTCACTCTTTCTCTTGTAGAGTCACTCTACCTCTTGTACACTCTTGAATAGTTACTTTACCTCTTGGACAGTCACTCTACCTCTTGTAGAGTCACTCTATCTCTAGTATAGTTACTTTACCTCTTGTAGAGTAACCTCCCTTGTAGAGGTAGCTTCACTCTACCTCTCTCTTGTATTGTCCCCATTTCCTTCCGTGTCTTCATAATAGCTTTACGACATTATTTATAATGTCTGTTGAAAGTTTAGATTTTTATATCATTCTCGTTCCATTCTTTCTTATTACATTCTCTTTTTTTCAGTTTATTTACCCCTTCTCTCTTCGAGTTTCTCCCTCTGTCTCCTTTCTCTATTTTTCTCTTCTATGTTTAATTTACGCACTTTTGTTTCCTGTTTCTGATATTGTCTTATGTTTTCTGGCAATTTTTTTTTTGCCCATTTTTAATGTTTTTCCATTTGATTTATTTGTTTTGTTTCTGTGATGAGTCTGACATTAATCTGGTAGTAGTTTTGAGCGTGAATGAACAAACTGAACCTCGAACTCATCTGGAATGAATAAAATATGAGTATTGGAGTACCTTGTGAATACACAATGAGTGATTCAGTTGTGAGTTGGTGAAATTAATATTTAACACACCAAAGAGGAATCGTTAAATAAAGATGAATCGGCGATTTATTGAATAAAAATGCATGTCACTCAGAGAATTAAAAGCATAAACCAGAACACAAAAACACACATAAAAATAAAACACGAAACAAAATATTCAGACTTTCTAAGGGAAATATCACAAATCAAAAATAGTTTTATTTGCACAGTAATTAAATGTTTTTGTACAAAACATTATCTCTAACAATATAATTTTGCAGATTATGATTTAACTGTATTTTTATCATTGTATTAATGATACTGATTGATGATACTAATCACTAATGATTGTATTATTGTATTTTTATAATAGTATTAGGAAGAAGGAAAAGAAGAGGAGGGAAGGAAGTGAGGGAGGATGGAAAGAGTAGGATGGAATGTGGAAGGGAGGGACGAAGGGAGAACGAGATGGAGCAGAAAATTAGGAGGAAGGAGGAAATAATAGTGTGGGCGGGTGGCTGACAGGAAATATGATGTTTTGAAATTTGAGCGCAGGGAGAGGGAGAGGGAGAGGGAGAGTGAGAGAGAGAGAGAGGGAGAGGGAGAGAGAAAGGGAGAGGGAGACCCACACACTAAAGCCACCCTCCACTACCACATTCAAACAAACATCCAGACATACTCACATGCACATGCACACACACACACACACACACACACACACACACACACACACACACACACACACACACACACACACACACACACACACACACACACACACACACTCCCACCAAAACCACTGAAACTCCCAATTTCCCAAAATAACTCTCAGTCTCTCCAATTCCACATGCTTGCAGCCTTTCTTTACGCCTGGAAACTGGGGCTCCGATCAATTGAGTGTTGTATGTCATTGTCCAAGCTCTCAAGTGCAGACCTGGAAACTCTCACTCTTTCCACGCATTCCTTTTTTTTTTAATTTTTGTATGTGTTGAGCAAGATTGGGTGCCAGGCACTGCCCTTGGTCTCTTCAGTTCCTAGATCTTACAGACACAACCTCTGAATCTTTCCCAGTCTTCCATGGGGAGAGAGACACTATCCTTATCTCTCTTCAAACACATCTTCATCCTTCCCCCCCCCCCCACCCAACTCTGTCTCAATCTTATATAATCACAGTCTTCATCTCTGATAAATATCTTCACCCCATCTATATTTTCCCACCTACACTGCCTCAATATGTCCTCTCAATTCATCCATATCCTCCAAAAACGCTACCCATTTACGCCAGCATACAGTGTCCGTCTCACAGCTACACCTTCTACACCCAGCTATACCATCTACACCCTCCCTGGCCCCAATCTCTGCCATCCCCGGAACAGTTCACAAACGGACAAAGAAACATTTTGCTTTATAGATATAGATTTCACCAGTTAACCATCATTCTCATTCCAGTTCCATGTGGATGCTTTTCAGTACTGGAACCTGCCTATTTACTTCCAATTCCAGGTATTCATGTTAGTGCCAAATATGACCTTCCCTATCCTCCCACAACTAGGGTTTTTACCACAAAACGTTGTTCTTTCGTGAACTAGTTACTAGCTGGAATGCTGGAACCTAGTTTGTTCCATGGTAATATTCTCTTGTGGAGGAACCTAGCTCGTATGCCATTCAAACACAGAATACATATACACATAGAAATACATTCCACTTCTTAACCACCTCTTAATTATCCCCAATCACCTCACAATCTTACAGACTACCTCATAATGTATCGATGAGCCCCAATAACATGGCTGAAATTTTGTTTGACCAAGAGACGACGACGTTTCGGTCTTGAATCGCACAATATTCACACAATCGACTTGATAATGGTCCAGAACGGACCGAAACATCCTCGTCTCATCACTTTCTAGTTTGTAGCTTGGACAGTACCTCATAATGCACTCACCTATTTGTACTTGCGGGGGTTGAGCTTTGGCTCTTTGGTCCTACCTCATAATGTGTCCATCTTTCAGTTCCAGGCGGCCCTTCTTCAGCGCTGGAACCTTCCGGAGTTCATGTGTGCCTTCTGCCCTTTCTTCCAAACTGTGAGTGTCAACGTGTCTATCTTCACCTTAACCGCCATCGCTGTTGATCGATACAGGGCCATCGTCTTTCCCCTCACCGCCAGACCCTCCAAGTTCAGGAGTAAGGTAAGGCAAGGAAGGTGCTTGTGGGGTCGCTGGAGGAGGCGAGAGGCGGGAGGGAAGGGATGTTTGGGGAGGGAATGAGAGGCGATGGAATGGGATTGAAGTATTGTTGGAACAGTGTATGTGGAATGGAGCGTGGTTTTGTGAAGAGACTGATGTAGCATGGTGTGTGGGAGAGAGAGTGAGATAGATAGATAGATAGAGAGTGAGAGAGAGAGAGAGAGAGAGAGAGAGAGAGAGAGAGAGAGAGAGAGAGAGAGAGAGAGAGAGAGAGAGAGAGAGACATAATCAATCAAAATAACTAATATTCATTAGGCAGAATAATAAGGTATAATGGGAATATATAAGATATAAGATGCTTTGCAGAATTGACAGTGTGAAACGTTTGTAATTGACAGTGTGAAACGTTTGTTATTGAAAGTGTGGAACGTTTGAAATTGACAGTGGAAAAATGTGAAAATTGCAGCTTGACAGTGTTTGAAAGTCCCAGCTTAAAAAATGTTGAAAGTTACAGTTTGGAAAAGTTTGCAATTGACAGTCTAGGAATGTTTGTATAGTAAAGGAATGAAACAAGATGGCATAGATGAAGGCTACTGGAATGACTGAACCATTTATATGCGATAAAACTCCTTTAATGTAAAAGCAGTCAGAAAACGTTATGAAATTTAGTTGTAGGGATGACTAGAGAAATATTTATAGAGAATCATTGATTTTAACGACCTGTGGCTTTTAAGGTTGGCCCAACACACACACACACACACACACACACACACACACACACACACACACACACACACACACACACACACACACACCCACACACACACACACACACACACACACACCCACACGCTCATAATTTATCCTATAAAAACTTGTTCCAGGAAACCAAGTCATCGTGAATGCAAAAGTTTTGGCATTGCGATTATCGCGCAAATGCTTTTCAAGCTGGTTAATACACCTCACAAGCAGCCACAGGCAGCTCTCAAGGTCTCTGCTATACATCAATGCACGCCTGAGAAGTGACTTGCACACTTTATGAAGACTTGCAAGACATCTCAGCCTGACTTGAATGCATCTTGAAGCTGAAAGATTTATCAGCTCATCGAAGTTTTAATAGCAAAGGATTTTTTTTCCAAATGGCTTAAAATTCCCTTTGAATCTCCGAATTTACAAAGAAAAACTTTATTTGCTACAAAGTTTTTTTCTCTCCATTGAGAGTATTTAAATGTCTTGGGGAAATCCTTCACTTAGCGGTTTGTACACAACTTGCATTAATAACATAACCCTGCAAATGTGGATTTTGCCTTTGGGGGAAGCCCCCAAAGGCAAAATCTCTATTTGTGTCTCATCCCAGATGCCTCAGCTCAGTAAATTAGATTTTCCCCCTTTGAGAAACTAGAACTCCATTCGGTTGAACCTAATAACTTTTCCCAACCTTTCTTTTACCCCATAGTAGGACAGCCTTCAGAGTCACGTCTTTATCCCCCTAGGTGGTGATCGCCTCTATCTGGCTGTTCAGTGCGACGCTGGCCATTCCCAACGCCATAGCTCTACGTGTCCGCTATATCAAGGACTCGCTCACCAAGGAACAGAAACCAGTTTGCTTAGCGGTGAGTCGGGAGAAGTGAGGAAGGTGAGATGGTGGATATAGTGAGGGGAAAAAACATACAGGATATAAACAGAGAGAGAGAGAGAGAGAGAGAGAGAGAGAGAGAGAGAGAGGTAAAGAGATAATAGAGAAAAACGAATGAATGCTTTTTGTTTTCAAGAAATTCTCCATTCACTGAGAATTGAGAATGATTAATATGTATAATGATGAGTAAGCTAACAGGCAAGAACAGACCAACAGCTCACAAGGGATGACGGAAAATTGGCTTCATTAAAAAATATTCCAAAGCAAAGATGTTCTCTGTATCAAAAAGTGAACTAAACCCAAGCTGTGTTTGATACAGGAAGGCATCGACCCGACGGTGATGTGGACCTACTCCCACGTCATGGTTGGACTCCAGTTCTTCGTCCCACTAGGCATAATATCCTTCGCCTACATCAGAATGGGGTGGGAACTTTGGGGTTCAAGGACTCCAGGAAACGCTGAGGACGCAAGGGACGCCATTGTTCTTAGGAACAAGAAAAAGGTTAGTAGAGTAAGTACTCGAACTCTGGAATTCTTAATCGGAGCTTGAGATTGGTAGAAGTGATTCGATAGATAGTGGACGGATTACACAGGAGAGGGAGATAGGGAGGGAGGGAGTAAGAGATTAAGGGAGAAAGGGAGAAAGTCAAGGGAGGAGAGATGGGATATTATGGTTCATAAATTATGTTACCAGTTGAACCTAATAATGTAACTTGGACAAAGATAAATTAAATAAATTCATAGCTTTAAACTTAATGTAAAAAATATCGATCTGGAAACATGTAAATGCATATCAGAAAAAAAAACTTTTTGGGGACTTGTTATTTAATTAATACTAATACTTCAAATATTACAAGTGCTTATTAACAACAGTAACCAACTTTACCATTTTACGTATACACTCAAATTATATATAGTGACCTTGATTGAGATGCACAAATATACGATTTTAAAGTATCAAACGTGAAAATTGTAATACCATATTTATAAGAATGAATAGTTTCAATATATTTTGAAAACAACCTATTGATTAGTATTCACATACTCTAACCTCAAACGATGACTAAGAATTTGACGATTGGTCTCAAAAACATGAATGAGCGAATGCATGAGTGAATGCGTAAATGATGTACGGTATCATTCTTAAGAATTTACGGAATAGTACTTAGCGCTTTCAATGAAATGACAATTCAATTATTTTGTTGTATAATATTATGTCTCTTAGATCTAGCTGTAAAATAAAGCGTCTTTGTATCAATCAAAGGCTGGAAGCCAGACGCTCGGGGCTAGCCTCATTAAGCTTTGCTGGATTAATGGTGAATGGTATCAAAAGGAGTCGAGGTTAGCCCCTATGCCCAAGTAAAAGGGGGTAAAGGGGGGTTGCTTCCCTTCACACGTCCTTTGTAGTCAGTGAATGTGAAATGTTCTGCCCAGAATACGCAGACATTAGCATTTGTTTCAATAATAATTATTAATAAAGAGTATATTAACAAATCCTGTTGTCTGATTTCTGCAAAACTTAGTGATGTGTATCCCTCTGTAATCATGTAGCGAATATTTATATAAAACTACACATATGACAATCTACACATACCTGGAACTATATACACATATTCATCAACCCAAAAATACATATCCAACTTACCCATACACACTAACTATACACCAAACCTCACCCCACAAACCCATCCCCCCACCCACACACAACAAATCGCACCCCCCAAACCCCTCCCTCTACGCCCAATCACCCAACTCATCCCCCCCACCCCTACTCATCCTCACCCTTATTCAGTCACTGTCACTCGCCCAACCACTTCCTCATCTCCAACGGCAGGTAATCAAGATGTTGTTCATCGTAGTGGCCCTCTTCGCCTTCTGCTGGGCGCCTCTCCAGACGTACCACGTCCTTCAGGAGATCTATCCCTCAATCAACACGTATGTGTCATGTGTCTTGTGGTTTAATGTCTCAAAATTACTATACTGATTCCTTTTGTCTTGTAGTTTAATGTCTCAAAATTACTATACTGATTCCTTTTAAGTGTCCACTTCAACTTCAATGTTAAAATTATGAAATCAGATGTTTTAGGTTTTAATTTGTAAAGTGTAAATTTTTATCAACTTTGAAATAATGATTTATGTTATTTTTTTAATTTTCATTGCTATGTATTTTCAATGTTTAATGTTATCTTTGGTGTTCTGCTATACGTTTTGGGTTCATCAATTGGAATACTGTGAATTCAGCCATCTATTCTTTTTTCATATATTTGTGCATAGGATATTGTTTGTTATAATAACAAGAATTCTCTGTCTCTCTGTCACTCTGTCTCTTTGTCTCTCTGTATCTCTGTCTCTCTGTCTCTCTCTGTCTCTCCCCCCCTCCTCTCTCTCTCTCTCTCTCTCTCTCTCTCTCTCTCTCTCTCTCTCTCTCTCTCTCTCTCTCTCTCTCTCTCTCTCTCTCTCTGTCTCTCTCTCTCTCTCTCTCTCTCTCTCTCTCTCTCTCTCTCTCTCTCTCTCTCTCTCTCTCTCTCTCTCTCTCTCTCTCTCTCTCTCTCTCTCTCTCTCTCTCTCTCACTCTCGTTATCTATCTCCTTATTTCTCTATGTCTGTGCCTGTTTCTCTGTCTACTTCTTTCAAACTCTGTAGTAATCAATCAAGATCTGTCTCTCACATTTCCTTATACTTACGTTATTTCCTTACCCTCTCTCACTCCTCCATCCTAATTATCCTCTCTTCCTTTACTTTCACCCACCTTCTGCCTCACTCCATCACTCTCTCAGATTATTTGCGTACAACTATCGATGACGAAAAAGTCTATAATTTCCACATTCGACATATTAGAACATTTTTACCTTATCTTGTACTGACAGAGAAAAATTCTCTTGCGTGCTTATTCTGGAGATATAATGCTCTTTCGCGGAATATAAGTCACCTTAATGAGGCAAATCGGTAATTTGTTTATAAAATTGTCGATTACTGAAATGTGACGACCATATATAGCCTCGTATACTATGGCATATAGCGACCATTTTGACCGATGCTTGAAATATGGTTATAATAACTTATCCTCTATTTTGTTTCAGCTACCGGTTCATCAACATCATTTGGTTCTGTTGTCACTGGCTAGCGATGAGCAACAGCTGCTGCAACCCTTTCATCTACGCCATCTATAACGTGGGTGTGGGAGTGGATCTCAGTTGATGCAATCTATATTTGTTGGTGTGTGCGTTTGTCTGGCTCAAATTCAGATTCCAATGAAGGGTTGTCTATCATATTTTCCAAAACTGTAGAGACTGCATATATATACACACACGATGTCCCTGGGGATGTTATGTACCGTTATCTTGAGGTTATCTTGAGATGATTTCGGGGCTTTTTAGTGTCCCCGCGGCCCGGTCCTCGACCAGGCCTCCAGCCCCACGAAGCAGCCCGTGACAGCTGACTAACACCAAAGTACCTTTTTTTACTGCTAGGTAACAGGGGCATAGGGTGAAAGAAACTCTGCCCATTGTTTCTCGCCGGCGCCTGGGATCGAACCCAGGACCACAGGATCACAAGTCCAGTGTGCTGTCCGCTCGGCTGACCGGCTCCCTAGGAGACACTCAAACCCAGACCTAACCCCACTCCACCTCCTGAAGGGTCTTGAAAGAACTCAAAGCCCCAGAGATCTTGAAAGTACTCACGGACTCTAGCTCTCCAACAGGATCTCGTAGAATGCAGTCAGGCGGGGACTTAAGCGGGCTAGGTAACAACAGGGTAAAAAATGTCGTTGCAATATTCACTTGGGAGTTGCACAGTTGGGAATTTCACGTATAGAGAAGATGATTTCCAAGTCATGAGACGCACACCTGATCTCGAATGTAAATGTACCCACACACACACACACACACACACACACACATATGGACACGCACACTCAATACAAAACCAGATTTAAATAGATTGAGGGAAATTAGAAAATCAGATGAGTTACTGGGTTGTTAAGAAGTCACTTCTGCATTAGTTAGCAAGATCAGTTATGAGAACAACCAGTACGAGTATTGACCCATTACAGAAGGAAACAAGCGACTCAAAACTGTAGTCAAGGTCAACTGTAGTCAAGGTCAACTGTAGTCAACTCGGTCCTGACAATTCCTGTAACTTAGGAAACAGAAGAGAGTACACACACAAAGCTATAACCTTTACTTCACTTAATGCTGCGTTTTAAACAATATAGCAACAATTCATATATAATGTTGCTTCACTATTTAGAATTTTAAATGAAGCCTTTATTTGGCTCTCAAAATAAATGTAAATGTTAAAATGATTTACGTGACAAATGCGAATGCTGTGCAAATAGGAATCTGTTATTAAAATGTAAACAAGTGATTAAATTCAAGCTATGCATGAACTTCTTCACTGTGACTCTGCATAATTTTCAACCTTGTGAATAGATACAAAATAATATATTTTCGACAAATGAAATTATGGTTTGAACATGTACTTGTACAAACAACTGTTAACCGTATATTGAAGCAAAATATTAGAAACATGGCATTTTTTACCCAATCAAGACTTGCTTAGTGAAATATGGATGGAACTTCCCGTAGACTTTATGCAAAAATTAGGTTTTTTTTTTTTCTCTCTATTCTTTAAATATTTGAAATAATTCGTTTACAATTTATATTAGCATTGGAGATAATAATGTTAATTATATCGACGCCATTTTATAATTAATCTCAAAGGATTGTGTTAATGCAGTTGTTTGCACCCTCAATTTCAAGTTATTTATAAATGCATTAAATTCTATTGTCCCCAGATCAAATTTAGTAAATAGTCACTATTTGAATCTATTATTTAATATTATATTTATTAGGGGTATTCAACGTCGAATGTATGGTTGTATGTATGTGAAAAATGGTATTATTTGTTACTTAAAACATTACAGAAAAACCGTAATTTTAACTTGCAATAATTTACAAATATTCTAATATAACAAATATGTAAACAAAAGTAGTAAAAATAATCCTAAACAATTATTATTATCATTAGATTACAACCCCTAATCCCCGTTATTATGACACATTAAATAATAATATAGATAATAAACACGAGTTTTTCCCTTTTTCTTTTCAACAGGAGAAATTCAAGCGCGAATTCAGACAGAAATTCAGGTGCCTATTTAAGAACGACAGTGGAGGGGAAACGAGCGAGTTCGACCGGTCCAGGTACCAAATGTCCTTCAGGTAAGTTCTCCGCTCTGGAAATGAGCAGTTTAAGGACGTTGGAAAGTCTGAAAAGACGTGGGTCTGAATAGATTATGGTCCGAAGAATTGGTGGTATGTAAAGGTTAAATGTTTGAAAAAGGTGGTTAGAGGGGTAGGGAGGAGGAGGATAGACTGGACAAAAATAGGATACAGAAAAGCTGGATAGATTCAGGGTCTGTGTGCAGACTGGGACTAGAAGTTTGAAACTCATGGCATTGTGTGTCAAGGCTAGTGGCGTGCGGGATAGCAGTCTGCGGGATAGGAGTGTGGGCTGATATTTGTAGATATTGAGGATTTGGTGGCTAGCAGGGTAAGGGTTAGAAATGGGATTCCAAGCATTGTGAAGGTTAGATACGTGAGGATTAAATCCATTAGGGGGCTTGCTGAGTGTGTGGGTTAATAGTATGGATATGTGTATACTAGCAGTGTAGAATCCAACATATAAGTTGTATATCAATGTATAATCTAACATATAAGGTGTTTATCAGTGTATAATCTAACATATAAGGGGTGTAGCAGTGTGAAGATTTAGTATGTAAGGTGTATATCTATGTGTTATGATTTAGCATACTAAAGATATATCAGTGTGGCTATCTAGACGAAGGCAAACTTGGTTTCTAGATGTCTAAGCTCTAGAAATATGTGATCCTCATCACTTCACTCATCCAAACAATATATAGAAGTGAATGAAAACAAAATTAAATTTTATCTGCATATAATTGAGAATTTAATAAACGTCTCAAATATATCTAGGTCGAAGTTACAAGAAGTAATAATTCATTTTGTTGCTTCTGCAACGTGGAAATATGTAATATTAAAATATATTACAATACAGTCTGTTGGTTCATTTTTCATATATTGAGACTGTAAATTTTCCACACATATGTTCAAATATGATAAAAGTCACATATGCCTGCATATATACATGCCGACTTGCTTGCGTATATGTACCTGCTGGATTGATATATTCACACACATCAACACATAAAATTATTTTAATATGCAATGTGTGTGTGTGTGTGTGTGTGTGTATGTGTGTGTGTGTGTATGTATGTGTGTGTGCTCACCTGTGTGTGTGTGTGTGTGTGTGTGTGTGTGTGTGTGTGTGTGTGTGTGTGTGTGTGTGTGTGTGTGTGTGTGCGTGTGTGCGCGTGTGCGTGTGTGTGTGTGCTCACCAATCAGGCACCGAAAAACGTAATAAAAAAAAAAAAAACAGCGACCAGCCCAGTGAAACAAGCTTGGAACACGCAACTATTCGAGCTCCTCGCGGCGGCCATCAGAGCCCTTGTGTGGGAAGCGCTCTGTACCCCCGTGAGCGCCTTGCTATCTAGGGGGGCTTCCAAGATATCATGACAAATCCTCACTATAATCTAATCCCCCGCCTAACATGGGACTTCCTCGGTACCATGGACGCGTGTACCTACCATGAATTAGGTAAAATATATTCTTAAACGAATTATGAAAAATTATCAGAATATCAGTAGGAAAATTTACCGTGCATTGCTCATGTGTTTTACACCGAAGGAAAGTCACATACAGACTGACAGCTGCTTGGGAACACAGCTGTCTCCTGTCGCGCTATGATAATGGAAAGCGACAGCTGTTGATCTTCATTTGTATTCTGGATCACAGATGCGCGACGCTTGGGTGATTAGAGGAGCTTTCATTTGCATATTTTCAATCCAACGAATTCTGGAGGTTAAACTGGAGGAGGAGACGGTGTGGTGGTGGTGGTGGTGTGGTGTGGTAGTGGTGTGGTGGTGGTGTGGTGGTGGTGTGGTGTGGTGTGATGGTGATGTGGTGGTGATATAGTGCGATGGTGTAATGTTGGTGTGATGATGGTGTGTTGGTAGTGTGAGGTTGTGGTGTATAGTAGTAGTAGAAGTAGTAAGCATCCATCAGTCTCAGGAGACTATGGAGTTGCGCTCTGGTTGTGGGTCTGGAGTGGCCTCTCCAGGGCGCAAAGCCAGGGTAGGTTGATACGCAGAAGCTGTTACCCATGCAGCAGGTCCTCCTTCCCCCCGTATAGTGATATGGTGTTATCGTGATGTTGTAGGATGATGGTGTTGAGATTTAAACAATACAAAAAGGCGAATAAACGCTAACTAAAATTACAAAAACGCAACTGAATCGTTCTGCATTAAAATCGTACAAACAGTTTAGCTAAAATAAGAGGTAATGGCTCAATAGACAGTCTAATAAATGATGAAATATACGAGAAATATAAATGTGCAAAAGTGTTAATACAGTGTTGGGTTGAATGCTACTGGAACCCATCCAAGTTTTCCATAATTTGTGAAGATTATAAGCTTTAAATGTCACATTATGTGCATCTATTATTAGTCTTATTCTTTTGACTTATTTGCATATCTTGATATTATGTTAAACACATGGAAGCTCTCGAATTGATAGGGTTTTACTTGCTCAAGTTCAATCCCCGAAGATTTGAATAAATAATTATTATTATTATTATTATTATTATTATTATTATTATTATTATTATTATTATTGTTATTATTATTATTATATATTAATCACATGTAGAGCTGTAGTGGTAAGTCTAGGGCTTTTATAATGATATATTGATGCTGTGGTTGATGATTTATAACCTACAATGATTTGACATGATGGTGTTTGTGTGTTGGTGTGGCAGGGCGTTGGTGTCCCTGGTATATACCACCGTTCTTGGGCACCTCCACAGGTCAGTCCTCTATAATGTCTATAATGATTGCCCCCCTTGCACTAACATCTGTTTATCTTCGGGGCTTAATGGGCGTATATGCAAAATTTATTTGTGTATATGTTTGTTGCTTGTGTGTACGCTTACAAATACACACACATACATTCCGATATTAAAGCAAAAATGCATAAACACACGAAAATCCACCTATCTGCAAACACAGGTTGTTGAGAACCAGGGGCCAGATTCACGAAGCATTTACGCAAAAACTTACGAACCTGTACATCTTTCCTCAGTCTTTGGCGGCTTTGTTTACAATTATTAAAGAGTTATGAGCTCGGAAGCACCAGGAGGCTGTTTATAACAATAACAACAGGTGATTGGGAAGTTTTCATGCTTGTAAACTGTTTAATAAATGTAAACAAAGCCGTCAAAGATTGAGGAAAGATGTACAGGTTCGTAAGTTTCCTGCGTAAGTCCTTCGTGAATCTGGCCCCGGATAACCACAGGGTGGTAAGTACATCTTGGAAATACCATCTAGGTGATCAGAAACAGGTGAGTACTGATTGGTCAGTGGGCAAGTAAAAACACACAGGAAGCTGCTAGCTTATTTTCTTCACTCAACTAATCTTATTAAAGTTACCAACTAAACTTAACAACTAGCAATCTAAGAAAAGCCTATTGTTAGCAAAACTAAAGAAATATCTTATTGCAGTTTCTTAGTAATTTATCAGTCAAAACGCTGAATCTAACAATCTAAACACCAAATTTTAACAATCTAAGCGCAATATTTAACAACAGTCTAAACGGAGAATTTAACACACTAAACACCGAATTTAACAGTATAACAATGAATGTAACAATTAAGGTGGGTATTTAATAAATTTACTCCTTTTAGGCTTGTTTCAAGGTCATATCAAGGTCGAACTACTGACCCTCTCAAAGATGCAACCCCAAAACTATTGCCTAACACCCAATTACCTTCAAGGTGAACAGACTCATTAGGTAAGAGGAAATTTGCCCAATCATTTCTGTCTCACCTGGACAAATTTCCTCCTCCAAAGTAAATTCACAAAACGCTTCAAGAGTCCCAAGGAAAATAGCTAAGACACATCTCTCTCTCTCTCTCTCTCTCTGTACTCCTTAATTTATATAGAACACAAAGTTTTCTATATAAAAAATTGTTACATTTTGATTCATTGGTTTGTTTTGGCTTAAATCTGCTCATATGTGACTTCTTCAGTGACAAGATATATTGTATACATTCTAATATTTATTGTGGATAATTCTCAAGGCCAAAAGTATGTTTATCGATTAGAATTAAACAAGATCCAGTTTCTCCCCCCATTTGTGTACTTTTCATGAGAGCTGGTAGCTTCACCCCCCTATTACATGTATCCCACAGACAGCTGGAAGCTGTTCCTCCTATTACATGTATCCCACAGACAGCTGGAAGCTGTTCCTCCTATTACATGTATCCCACAGACAGCTGGAAGCTGTTCCTCCTATTACATGTATCCCACAGCCAGCTGGAAGCTGTTCCTCCTATTACATGTATCCCACAGACAGCTGGAAGCTGTTCCTCCTATTACATGTATCCCACAGACAGATGGAAGCTGTTCCTCCTATTACATGTATCCCACAGCCAGCTGGAAGCTGTTCCTCCTATTACATGTATCCCACAGACAGCTGGAAGCTGTTCCTCCTATTACATGTATCCCACAGACAGCTGGAAGCTGTTCCTCCTATTACATCTATCACACAGACAGCTGGAAGCTGTTCCTCCTATTACATGTATCCCACAGACAGCTGGAAGCTGTTCCTCCTATTACATGTATCCCACAGACAGCTGGAAGCTGTTCCTCCTATTACATATATCAAACAGACAGCTGGAAGCTGTTCCTCCTATTACATGTATCCCACAGCCAGCTGGAAGCTGTTCCTCCTATTACATGTATCCCACAGCCAGCTGGAAGCTGTTCCTCCTATTACATGTATCACACATAGGCCTGGAAGTTGTGGCCTATTACTGACGCCAAGTAATAGCCAAGTCCATCCTTGGCCAAGTCCAACGGGACTGTGGCCAAGGATGAATTATGGCTGTAAGCCACTGTGAGCTTCCAGGTGGCGAGAGACAGGTTGTCGACCTGTTGAGTGGATCACGCTAGTGCAGAGTGTAGTGGAGGTTGTTCCCTGTATTGTAGGTTGTCCCCTGTAATGGAGGTTGTTCCCCTGTAATGGAGGTTGTCCCTTGTAATGGAGGTTGTCCCTTGTAGTGGAGGTTGTCCCCTGTAGTGGAGGTTGTCCCCTGTAGTGGAGGTTGTCCCCTGTAGTGGAGGTTGTCCCCTGTAGTGGAGGTTGTCCGCTGTAGTGGAGGTTGTCCCCTGTAGTGGAGGTTGTCCGCTGTAGTGGAGGTTGTCCCCTGTAGTGGAGGTTGTCCGCTGTAGTGGAGGTTGTCCCCTGTAGTGGAGGTTGTCCCCTGTAGTGGAGGTTGTCCCCTGTAGTGGAGGTTGTCCCCTGTAGTGGAGGTTGTCCGCTGTAGTGGAGGTTGTCCCCTGTAGTGGAGGTTGTCCCCTGTAGTGGAGGTTGTCCCCTGTAGTGGAGGTTGTCCGCTGTAGTGGAGGTTGTCCCCTGTAGTGGAGGTTGTCCCCTGTAGTGGAGGTTGTCCCCTGTAGTGGAAGTTGTTCCCTGTAGTGGAGGTTGTCCCATGTTGGGAAGTGTATTTCCTGTAGTCGAAGGTGCAGCTGCAACTGTGGGAGTTAGCAACTTAGGAGTGTTTGTATTCTACTACTTGTATTTGCAGACTCGAGCTATTAGCTCTTGGTCCCAGCCTCTATTAGGTATACTACATATATTTCACTATAACACACACGCACACACATCCCCAGGAAGCAGCCCGTAGCAGCTGTTTACCTCACAGGTACCTATTTTACTGTAGGTGAATAGGGGCATCAGGGTGAGAGAAACTCTGCACATTTGTTTCTGCATCAATCGGGAATCAAACCCGGACCCCTATGTAATACGACCAGAGAGCGTTGTCCACTCAGCCGCGATGTCCCAAGGTGTGTGTGTGTGTGTGTGTGTGTGTGTGTGTGTGTGTGTGTGTGTGTGTGTGTGTGTGTGTGTGTGTGTGTGTGTGTGTGTGTGTGTATCTTCGCGCTTAATCTTGGTCTTGGTCCTAGACCAAAATAGTCTTCGAAACCAAAATTTTGGACCTAATTCAACTTTTTTTCAGAAGGTCCGTACACCCAACTGGTCTCAGTAAGTTATCAAAACTTTAGAGGGCATAAACTTAAATGATCAAATTATATAGATAATCTGATTGAATAAGCAATAATTGTTTTCAAAACTGGTATCTGTCAAAACCCTCTCGATGGTATCTATCACAACAGACCTGAGAGAATAACGAAAAGACTCTTTCATAGAGATAAACAATGTAATTCCCGTGTTTAATAATTAAATATTAAACAAATTCCAAAAAAAGAGAATACCCACCGAATTATTTAATTCGCAAAAATTTACTAGCTGGAAATCAGTTTAATAACAAACGTCTAACGTTTGCTTGTGTGTCCTCATACCTATATCACTTTTTTTACTATAATTGACGAATTCGTAAACAAAATTATGCGGAATTATCAAACAATTAAAGTCCCGAAAAACGTGAATTGACGTTTTCTCTACACCAGAGTTGATAGGTTTCGACTGCTTATATTCAAACGTTTCAAGTTGAGTAAAGCAATTTCATGGTTCGTGTCTCTCTATCTTTCTCTCTCTCGTTTTTCTCCTTCTCTCTACAGGTATCCGATGGATCGCCAGGTGTCTACGGCCTCAGACCAACGGATATCGCGAACGGACGCCACTGTGCTGAACGGATCCTTGCGTTCCTTCTCTAACAAGTTCGTGTTTCTTCAGGATTTTCCATAACATTACTGCTCACTGTCCAAAAGTTACTTAGTGAGAAAGCCTGCCCCTCCAAAAGTTATTTAGTGACAAAGCCTGCCCCTCCAAAAGTTACTTAGTGAGAAAGCCTGCCCCTCCAAAAGTTATTTAGTGACAAAGCCTGCCCCTCCAAAAGTTACTTAGTTACAAAGCCTGCTCCTCCAAAAGTTACTTAGTGACAAAGCCTGCTCCTCCAAAAGTTACTTAGTGACAAAGCCTGCTCCTCCAAAAGTTACTTAGTGACAAAGCCTGCTCCTCCAAAAGTTACTTAGTGACAAAGCCTGCTCATCTAAAAGTTACGTAGTAACAAAGCCTGCTCCTCCAAAAGTTACTTAGTAACAAAGCCTGCTCCACCAAAAGTTACTTAGTGACAAAGCCTGCCCCTCCAAAAGTTACGTAGTAACAAAGCCTGCTCCTCCAAAAGTTACCTGGCAACCACATATCCCTCACATGTTACAGATCCTCCGTAACATCAGCACAAATATCACAGCTTACTCTTTCAAGGTCACCTTAACCAAAAATATGCTTCGCTCGGTACCTTTTGTGTTAGTATTAATGCTACCCCTCTCTTGGCGGCCTCTTGGCTCCTGTAGGTACAAATATTCCTCCTTGTTTGTCTTCAGATCGTCGCTCACCACCACGGGACATGTCTTACTGGCGTCTGGTGGACGCAGTGTGAACGGGGAGTCCCACGGCGATGTCCCATCCGGTGCCCAACACCAGGAGGTTCACGTCTGCGTCCCTCTCAAATCACACGCTCACCTGCACCCCTCCGCGTATCGCTCCAGATTTGACGGAGACACGAGGATATAGAAGAAACTATAGAGGGGTGAGAGCAGAGGGTTATAGATACAGTTCCTCCATGCTGGGTCGTTAGTAGAGGGCTACATGTGATAGGCTCGTTACCAGGTCCCCATGGTAGGCTTCATCTGCCGATCCAAAGGCCTCATATAACTTCCAATGATGTGTCCGGTAGATCATCCTAGTGGCCCTTCTACAAGGTGGTCCCCTCTCACCAGGGGTAGACTCACAGAATAAAAAAGAGCTCTGAAACGCATATCTTGGTAGAGGATCAATCCCATTACAGGTTCATGTGTTCCAAAATAGGTAAAAAAAGCAGCTTGAAGTTGTAAAAGATTTTTGAAATGCTATAGGTTCCAATTTTATCTCCCATTTAGGTTCCAAAGTTATAATAGACACAGGGATGCAGGTATGTTGGAAATGAAGTCTCATATTAAGGTTCTTTGTTAAAATTTCCTCTTCGTGTTGGGTCATAGAGATACAGCGTTTTACATATGTGAAATGTATGGTTGGAAAGTTTTTTGAGTGATTCACTCACACACCCTCCACCCCCCAAAAAACAAAAAAAATAGTGAAGTCTTGTCAGGGGGAAAGTGGAAAATGTTTGATAATGAGTGATCGAGTGAGGGTGAGAGAAGGGAAGTGTTGAAGGCCCTCATAATTCTCGATAGTGTACATAAAGTTATGAGGCGTATACAGGTTGTGAGAGCAGAAGGGGGAGTGTGTGTGTGTGTGTGTGTGTGTGTGTGTGTGTGTGTGTGTGTGTGTGTGTGTGTGTGTGTGTGTGTGTGTGTGTGTGTGTGTGTGTGTGTGTGTGTGTGTGTGTGTGTGTGTGTGTGTGTGTGTGTGTGTGTGTGTGTGTGTGTGTTGTTCCCGAAACATAACTTCTGTACATAATTATTCCTTGTTGCTGTTCCTTTGTATCTTCAACTTTCACAACTCACGACAAATCATTTTCTGATACTGAATTAAGGTTGCATAAATAATATAGCTCATTTTCTTCCAATTACAGACATTTATATATATATCTTCACTCTGAATATAGACGAAAATCGAGGCTAGAATACAAAACTATTATTATGTGATTTCTGACTCATAAGTGTTCAGGTAATAGCTGACACATACATTTACTTATAACTACTTACATGTGATTGCGATAATATATGTACTTTCATGTATGTATTGAGGGAGGATACATACTACTACTTTCAGTATTCGTGATTCACATAATTTGTTCTTCATCGCTACTTACAAAATGTGACGTAGAATGAACATGAGATGTAGAATACAAAACAAGATGTAGCATATAAAATGAGATTCAGAATGTTCAATTACTTTCTTTTTGCTAATCAAATTTCGACTGTTTTTTCCTCTAGAGCTTTTGTCTTGGCGAGCAGCTCAGTTGATGCTTTACTGAAAGGAGATGTTTTAGGTTAATTTGTACATATATTCTGGGGAATTTTAACGTAACGATCGAAATGCTGTACGGAAACATAATTGTGTTAAATGCTTTATAGGATTTCATGCATGAATTTTATTGTTTAGAGAATGATTCTGATGATTTGTTGGAGTTAGGATTATTTAATGTATGATTCTGTCTGTTTTAGGTGAAAATATAATGATCATGGGATGATTCTGAATGCATTTTTGTATGATAAACTTCATGTATTTAAAGGCTCAAATGATCTCATTTGTGGTGAGCAATAACCTTATGTACTTATGTGTGTTCCTCTATGCTGTTATGTAGTGAATCTGTTCCATCACTGTTCGTTCCAGTTGGCCTGGAAAATGGCCTGGAACATAATTTTTGTGATATTGTAACGTCGAGAAGGAGGAAATAATTCCTCTGCTAATATTATATTGTGCCACATAGAAAAAGAGGTTTTTTAACCAGGACAAAAAAAACAAAGTTTTTTTTAACCAGGACAAAAAAAACAAAGTTTTTTTTAACCAGGACAAAAAACCAAAGTTTTTTTTAACCAGGACAAAAAAAAAAACAAAGTTTTTTTTAACCAGGACAAAAAACCAAAGTTTTTTTTAACCAGGACAAAAAACCAAAGTTTTTTTTTAACCAGGACAAAATTAAAAATATTGTGGTACTTAACTTCGTGAAACAAATATCTTCAGTGACTCTAAACTTAGTGTAATAGACATTTTCATTGAATGGATTCAGTGAACCAGCCAGACTCATTAACTTTAAATTCAGTGAACCATTAAAACTTTCGAAACTCTGAACTCAATGCAGGCGATGAGTCACAATAACGTGGCTGAAATATGTTGACCAGACCACGCACTAGAAGTTGAAGGGACGACGACGTTTCGGTCCGTCCTGGACCATACTCAAGTCGATTGTGAGAATGGTCCAGGACGGAACGAAACGTCGTCGTCCCTTCAACTTCTAGTGTGTGGTCTGGTCATCAATCTGAACTCAATGTTGTACCAATCTTCTATGGTTCTAAACTCAGTGTTCAATTCTCGTTCGATAAGTTTAAGCTCAGTGTACCAGTTACATTTAGGAGTTCTAAATTCATTGTGCTACTGAACAGCAGTGGTTGTTATCTCAGTGTACCAATCATTTTCAGCAAAGAAAAATAAGTAGTGGAGTTCAAAATGACAACTGCATTTGGTAATTCGTTGTTCAGCTATTTCTTATTTTCGTGTGATCTTAAAGTATTATTTTTGCATAAATAATTTAGTATACATATATATATATATATATATATATATATATATATATATATATATATATATATATATATATATATATATATATATATATATATATATATATATGTCAACTTCATTACACATGTTATAAAACCTAACATAAATTTAATATTCTCTGGCAGTCCTTCAAGCTTGTTGTGTGCGAGGATGATGCAAAGAATAGCTCAATAATTTTATGTTGGACGGCGCTGTCATAACTATTTGTGTCATTCTAATACTGTGTGTGTGGGTGTGCTCGCCCGAGTATGTGTATTTGAATACTTATGTGGGAATCATTCTACCTTTCTCGTCAATGACTGGAGTGAGTGTGTGTGTGGTACCTTAGTGGTGCTCAGAGGTACCGAGTATCATTCACAGACGGAGGAATTTTTGCATATATATATCAGTGTTACTGTATTTCCTAATTAAGTGGTGTTACCTGTTAAGCGAAGCACCAAGATATATATATATATATATATATATATATATATATATATATATATATATATATATATATATATATATACCATTTTTCATCTTCATGTGCAGTGATTCATGTGTCATGTACCCGTTAACTGCCACAAGTCAATCTCCAATCATCCGCAATGTTTCCTGTAAAGAGAATTATTCCACTTTATTCTGGCATAATGTTTAACAAATACCATAGAAAAGACATAATAAGTATGTGAGGTGGTGAAGGGCCTCGTTAACCCCTACGTTATAAAATCTGTATAGGTCGCTGGAGTGCCTCTGTGTCGCTGGTGATTGTATTCAAACTAATATTATATATATATAACGTTTCTGGAGTTCTGAATTTGATTTCATCCTTTGAGGGGGTTTGGGAATGTGAGATTTTTATGTATATATGTATACTCAGGCCTAGCTTGTGTATCCAGTGGCCGACCCCACTGACTCATGTATAAATTTTGACCTTCTGAGTATTCAAAACTGTTATACATAACTAAACTAATATTATTATATATTAGAATTTTATGTATAGTTAGGAGTAGGTTAGGTTAGGTGTTTAGGTTCTGTTGGATATTATCTGCTTTTCAACCCGTCCTCGACTCAAGTTCATTCCATCCAGCGGTCGACCCCACAGATGCATTCATGAATTTTAACATGCTGTTCATTCAAAACAGTAATTTTCTCATATATAAATTTATATTATAATACATTAGTATAGAGTGCATATATAGGCATAGGTTAGGTTGGGTGTCTAGGTTCTGTTGGCGATTATTTTTATTTGTAGTACGTGGGTGAAGCATTTACATCGTTGTGATTCGAACAAAATTCATCAGTGAAGCACTTGTTCCGGAAGTGTTCGAACGTCAACAGTTGTGAGTCGTGTGTAAACCGTTTTTCATTTATAAACAGGGGGTTTGGCGGGTGCATGGAATCACCTATGGGTCCTTAGAGAACGGACTGGGTGTAGACACGACTTACAACTGATTTCATTAGCACTTTTCTCGAACAGTTCACGACTTGTGTTCGAATCTCACCTCTCGAAATGCTTCAGTCCCGTACTACAAATATCAGTAATTACCAACAGAGCCTAACCACATAACCTAAGCTACGCCTAACTATACAACACATTTTAGTACACAACAATGTTAATTTATATTAGAAGAAATACCAATTTTTGAAAATACAGGACGATACAATTTAGGAATAAATCTTTAAGGCCGGCCGGCTGTTTGGACGAGCCTAGTCGGAGAACAGGTTGTGCACTGTGTTAAGAATTACTTATTCATAAATTGCCAGCTTGATTAGCGGGTATTTGCGATTGTTTATACAACCTGACTTCATTAACAATGGCCAAATTGTTATTATAAAACACATCCAATACAGTTTTCTTTAAGTTTATAAATTTTTGTGCTGTTATCTAGTGAAAAATTCTTCTCCTTTCCAATAACAAAAGAATCATATTAACAAATTCCAATACCTCCCCCCCCCCCTTTGCAACCTCTATATATTTTCAACAATTCCAAATAGAAGAGATTAAACTATTTATTTTTAGTATTTATTTCTCGCCTCACTTCATTTTCTATGATTAGGGACTTGTTTCTCTGGATAACTTTACTGATTAAAAGACTCTCCTAATAAGAAAGTTATTTACGCCATATTTACCGACCCTCACTGTAATTTGCTTTATAAACTTGGCACAATCTTTACTTTAAAATTGTAAAAGACTTTAACAATCTTTACTTTATGATCGTTTACTTCTACAATCCTTCTGATCATCTGGCGTCTTCCATTATTTGCGTTTAATTAACAATCTTTGTTCACACAGTTTAATATTTTATTAATACCGATAATGATATGAAACATTGATTCATATTTAGTAAAAAATACAAATAATAAGCTCATGGAATATATCAGTTTTTAGAGTCAAGCTTCCGATGAACTAATGAATTATATATTTTCTTCAGTTGATATAAAATAACATGTTTCGGAGTCACTGCTCCTACAGTGCTAATGAAAAAAAAACTAATACAACGCATGATTACCTAAAAATACATCTAAATAAGTCAAAATGATAAAGATCATTATATATCAGAAAACTACTTAAAAAATTGAACCTAAACTATATTACATACAAAATAATGGACACATTTACAAGAAAGAAAATTTAAAAATATTATAACCCTCATCAACCTCCTTTAAGGAGACGGAAAACAGCCAATTCGAAGACAGTGAGTAAACAGCTGATTCGAAGACACCGAACTGAGTTCAACTCAGGTGTCATATAAACTACTGAGACACTTTTCAAGGTGTTGAGGTCTAAACGCCACGAACTAGCAAACAGAACAGTGACATTGTTACATGTGAGAGTGTTGGCCATTTCCAGCGCCGTGTTTGGGATTAGCAGAGGACGCAACGTGTCTGGGACACGAGCCAAATGAGGTAAGAGTTACTCATATGTTTATGAATAATGTGTTTTAAAGTTTCGTGAGGACCGCACATCGAACATTTAAAGTTTTTGAACGTTTATACAAGACAGACAACACCAGATCTGAGTTTAAGGCGTAAAGGATCTCTACACGTTTTAAACAGTTTCCAATAATGTAGTTGTTGGTAAGTACGAACTGAAAACTAATTTATGGATAAATATGTTTTAGAACATTGTGAAGATCTTGTCTAGTATAATAGCTAACAACACCCTAATAGGGAAAGGTAAGAAAATACGTATCTTTAGGTATTGCGGGAACTTCGACATTAGGTACAAATTTAGTATTCAAGAACTACCATAGAATTTTTTATATTGTATTGGTAGAAAAAAAAATTGATAAAAAAATTCATGCGTTTTGATACAAAAATTTAACATAAATGATATGAATCATTTTAAAATAAATACCTCTTTGAGGTTGATTATATATATATATATATAATATATTAAATAATATATGTAATATATAACAGAGCTTACTCCTGGTTGGTCAGTAAGCTGTTATATCCCTCTAGCGGTTGTTCAGTCCGAAGTCAAATACGAAAAACACATGCAACACGTATGTCTTTTAATTTACAGGAAGCTGATAGACCATTATTCTCTCTGTCTCTCTCTCTCTCTCTCTCTCTCTCTCTCTCTCTCTGTCTCTCTCTCTCTCACCACATTTGCATCACAGTTCTCTCTCACACCTACAAATCCCTATCTCTTAGCCTCGCGTCATGCTCACACTGGGCCAGTAATTACCCACAACAAACTCATCGGATAAATTTACGTTACAGAGAACGAACGTATAATAAAAAAGCTAAAGAGTGAAAAGAAAACGTTTAGCACCATGAGCAACACGAGACCACCACATCTCACACCAAACGAAGTACTCACAAAAAACACCTCCCTTCAAAAAAACAAATAAAATAGACAAGGTAATACTTGCACAGGGATGAACGACCAAGGAATAAAGGCAGAAGGAAAACCCCAAATAATTGATAAAAAATTAGTTTTCACTTTTCTTCAGGCCATTGACAATTTGGAAACTATACCAGAAAACTTTCTTTTTAGCGCATTTGAAGTTGGGGAACTATCTAAGTGTTGTTAATTGGGCCTGGGTGCGTGGGTGTTGGTTTTAAGGCAGAGAGAGAGAGAGAGAGAGAGAAAGAGCGAGAGAGAGAGAGATAGAGAGAGAAAGAGAAAGCGAGATAGAAAGAGAGAGAAGGTTGAAGCGAGTCGTAATGACCCATTGTGGCAATAATTCTGTGTGAATCTGAATATTTCTGAATAACTCACGCCAACCACTATTTGATGCGGGATATACTCCTGAAACCACTGTCGATTATCGTGTGAAACTTCTCCTTTATTTGCACTCTATCATACTTTGAAAAAATATTTTTTAGCTAATGAAACTTTAGCTAATGAAAATTGCAATACGTTTTCATAGCTAATCATGCATGACGATTGTTCACATTAATTGCAATATTTTCATTATGATTTCCTGTTCGAATCTCAGGGCTGAACGCACTTATTTCGAACAATAATCCCACAGGATTCTAGGTTTGATCTGGAGACGTTCAGTGAGGGTTTCGGATTATTTCTAATTAAATTACTAATTTAATTTTACTTTCATTTACAGTGAAAGTTTAGCTTTTA